TTTATTCCAGACTTCGATGAATTCACCTCTCGGAGATTACCCGGTGTAGTTTCTGAGGTTGGAAAGTGTCGGCAGAGGAGAATCTACGAGGGCTTGGCGTGTAGCGACCCGTGTCAGTAGAGGACGACGGGAGATGCTGAAGAATCCATCCAAGGCACTACCTGACAAAGGGAATAATCCCCCTCACAAGGCGACAAGGTAGCTAAGAGACGAGGCCCATCACCTCTCAACATCCGAGACACGTGCCTCCACGTGGGCGCACGTGGTCCTGTCCCCTTAGCCTAGTATAAATACTCATGTAAACCTCAGAAAGAGGGATCCGAATTCATTCTCTCTAAACTCCCTTGTAAAAGCACCCGTGCATATTCCGTTATAATATAAATCGGGCTACAGGTGTTCCACCTAAAGTCCTACCGGTCAATCTGCGTGTTTTTACCTTTCTTACTTTGCCAGATCGAACAAACTATTCTAGACCCGGTCTAGCATAGTGTGACCGGTCAAGTAATTTACACCATCAAATTGGCTTGAAAATATTTTGAGTGGTGTTTTGTGAGTAGGTTTGCATTGGATGAAAAAGAAACCTTAACGGCCCCACGGTCGGTGCAAAAAATGATTGTGTAAATCATCAACCGGGTAAACAGGACTAGACTGAGTTTTGGATTGTTTACTGGATTTAGGGGTGTGCAAGAACCGGCCTGGACTGGAAATTAGACCTGACCCAGACCGGAATGGACCGGTCCGGACCGACCTAGAGTAACCAGGTCCGGTCTCCGGTCTTAACAAATTTTGGATTCCGGGTTCCGGTCCGGTCCGGTCTAGAACCCAGAAATAGCCGGTCTGGATAGGAATTTAACCTGTCCGTGACTCCCTGAGGATGAAACCAATAATCTAGGGAGAGCCGTGACCTTTTCTCTGCCGTGACCAAGCGCATAGCCTACAGGCTACAGCAGATTGCCCGCATCTCTTTATAGCCTACAGCCGCAAGTCTGTAACTCGTTAATCGGCACCACCTTCGTAGCAAACTCGTCGTCAATCAGGTCCTCCTTCGCCGGAATCGTTTCTCGTCCCCTGCTTTTCGTTCTTGCCGGAGTCGCCGGCCCGTTGTCGCCGGAATCCCTGGCCGCGGAGTGAGGATTGCTGCTGACGGAAATGGAAAAAAAACAGGGAGAAGGTATAAATTCAATTTCTACTTCTATTTCCTAGCAATGGTGATTCCTAGCATGACTTTATACTTAAAATTTCAATTTCAATTCTAATTTCAGATTTGTTGACATAGGATCTTAGATTCATGATTCATGAATGTATTTTGCTTCATTTACTTTTTTGTTTCTTTTTTACAGAGGCTCGAAAAAAAAGATTTTGCATCATTTACTTTATTGAATCTGTCAATTATCTCTCCATTGTGATTGTAATGAATTTGTAGAGATATTAAATCATGATTTTGTCAATTTTGTATCTATTTACACAAAAAATTTTAGTTTGTGATTTTTTTAATATAACAAATTCGGTCCATAATAGGGTAAACCCGGACCGGACCGGAAAATTCAGGTCTGGACCGGTAACCAACAGGTCTGGTCTTTGGTCTTAAGAAATGCTTGATTCCGGTTCTGGTCTGGTCCGGTTTTGAACCGGTGCACACCCCTAACTGGATTCGAGAGAGTAAAAGGTAACAAACACACAGATTAACCGAGAGAACTGTAGGTGGAAACACCTATCAATTGTTATTCGAATATAGTAGAATACACGGGAGCTTTTACACAAGAGTTTAGTCCGAAGAATTTGGTCCCCTTCCTTTGAAGGTTACATAGGTATTTATAGTAAAGCTAAAGGGAACAAGGCGCCACACACCCACGTCACACCACGTTCCTGGGTGGCGGGAGGTGATTGCCTCTGTCTTTTAGTGGCTTGTTCCATCCCTTTATTCCTTTTTCATCTAGCTAGGAATGTGACTCCTTTGTCACGTAGTGCATTGGATTGATTGTGTAAATATCTTCAATGATCCTTTATTGAATTTGGCCGCTACAGTCCAACTTGCCTTGGATTCTTTCATGCCGACACTTCCCAACCATAGAAATCATACCGGTTAGGTTTACGTGGGATGAGTTTATGGAGATTGGGGATGAACAATAGAAGTCACGTAGTTGGACCGGTAGAGTATTTGAAGTATACCGGTCAAACTTTTGACATCGACCTACTTCTATCGTTTAGGCTTCCCATCTCACAAATTCAATCTTGATCGGTCAAACAATTTGTGGGCCTTCCCTTGGATCGATACTGGGTGGAATACACCCATCAAATAACATATTAGTCTTATTTTTGTTTTTATTTAATTAAGATGTTGTTTTAAAAAAAGAAGAGATTTTTTCTTAGTACTATTTTTAGGAAGTTTTTATGAATTATACACATATAAAAAAGAGTAAATTCCATAATTGGTCCACAATTTTAGGTAGTTTTCCATAGTTAGTCCCCAATTTTACGATATTCCATAAACAGTCCTCAATTTTTGAAAATTATTCTACTAATAGTCCTTTTAACCAAATATGACTATATATTTTGAGTAAATTCTCAAAATGATTCTTTTTAATAAGGTTTTTTTCCAAAAATTACTAACGTGGTCTTTTATAATTGAGATGTGTTTCGTAAATAGAGAGCACCAAGGATACAAGGCATATCAAGCACACAAGTATAAGAAAGTACCACCTAGCCCAAAGTGCCCACCCAAATAGTCTAGTCGTAGTCTTCCAAATGCTCCTATCAGAGGTCATATTCTCACTATGGAAAAAAAATCTCAAGTCGTGTTTAATAACCTCCTTCAAAGTCTTCTTAAGTCTACCCACTAACGTAATCCTCTCGCATCTCCGCACTAGGCATCAACAACCCACCACCTCAACGTGGCTTCATGTAGCTTATCTTCCACATGTGCCATGCTTACCCTTTTTCAGTCATTGTGTGCAAAAAATAACCCGTAGCCTGTATGGTAGCTTAGTAGCACCCAAGCAGTTTGCTGTTGATTCTGGAAAGAATTTGACCCACTAACATGTTCACCCTATATGTTAGTTTGGCGTGAAAGAAATCAACCCATCAACTTATTCCCAGTTTTGACGAAATTAAGCCATCACCTATATGGTTAAAAACATGCTTTTAGGAAATTATTTGAATATCATTACATACTCTATTGGTCTGGGCATTGCATTTCTTGGTTTATTGATCTCTTGAATGGAAAAAGTGACCACATTGCATATCTTTTTAACCATTTTCTTATGCTATTTTGTGTGTGGTCTGTTTACTTGTCAACTCTAATCTTTATGTTATTACATTGTTTGTTTTTTTCTTTTTGGTGAATATATACAATGATGCAGTCATGAGCTACTTTTGAGAAGTATACACAGATGAGAATGTTTTAGTGGGTCTTTGGTGTAATATATAAATATTGTGTACTTTGTTGTGTCTGAAATTTTATCATCGATAGATGTTTACAATTAAATTCTATCCATAGGCACATTATTTATGAGATTTTTTATATTGCATATTTCGAACTAAAACAGTTGTTGTGCAACACAAGGTATGGATCTAGTTTATTTTATTCAAAAGCGTGTGTGAATATATATATATATATATATATATATATATATATATATATATATATATATATATATATATTTAGGAATGAGTCGATTAACATCCATTTTAATAATTTTGGGAAGCTGCTGCCTGCTGCCTGCTGCAGCCGCATGTGATTGACCCTTGGGTTAGAGATATTGAAGACCGAATCAAGGGTGATAAGGTGGATGCCTTTGTGGATCTGGTTAATTCTAAATTGCTAGAGGAGGAGACTCATACCATAGACTGTGAGCTTGACATAGCCCAAATTATCAGGTGTATTAAATCCGAGTGCATCTTTAAGTTGATCTTTTTACTTTGTCTCACGGAACTGGTACACACATTATCTCTTCCTCTTCTGGTTTAATTCATCCATATAGCTGTGATTTGTGCTTATATATATTACATATTCCATGGTTGAAGCAATTTTTGTTTGCACTCTTTTGAAAATTTTCTGTCTTTGGTTGGAGTTGTGTTGGAGAACCAATTCTTTGATAAATCTTTTTTACTTTATTACCATGTCAAATTAGGGGTAAGGTATGCATACACACAACCTTCCTAGACACTACTTTCGTGGGATTTCACTAGGTTGTTCTAACATACTCCATATCAAATTAGGAATCACATGCACATTTTACTTGGATGAAACATGAGCCAAGATTGCAACTTTTGGATACAATAGACACTATAGTGACACCCCTTTAATAACTTAGGTCATGTTCTCCCCAACTTATTTTTTTCACTTATTAGTTATTCTTATTGGAATTTAGAAATAGATTTAAATATAACTACATTCAAATCAGACCAGATCAAATCAGAACCAATGAGATCAGGTGAAGAGAACATCGCCTTAGAGGTTAGATATGCCATCCTTGAATCAATAGGTGCCAAAGTGACATGAAGTCGGTCTTAACAATTATAGATCTATTTTGTTTTTCGTAACTATCACAGGCTACAAGTATATATTCAATTCTTTAGCCAATGTCCCACAAACATAAAAATATGGTCTTCAAATGAATTCCGAAAAATTGTTCCAAATCGTCTGTTGAATGACAAATACACACCATACATTTATTTTGTGTCCTTTTTTATGTTTTGAACTTGAGATGAAAATTGTGGAAATAGTTCTCTAATTTTGGTACTGTCATTGCAGCGAGAGCCGCTAGAGGCAATAAAATTGCTTGCTTTCAAAACGGAAGAGCTTCATATGACGAGTATGTCCATGGCACGCTGTGGAAAACTTCTCGAACTAGCTGTTCTGCTTATGGTTGCTTGGGAAAAGCTGTTAAATAAATCTAAAGTTGATGACATCCCCCCCTTAGAACAATGCATTAGGACAGAGTTACAATGGACAGTTGTTGAGAAGACTAAATTGTATTGTCGCATGGGTTGTAATGAGGTGCTCAATGCACATAAGTGTAGAGAGAAGTTGTTGCTCGGTGCAGGTTCGATGTTCCTCATTTTTAATCAAGTTGGTGGTATTCTTGACAAGTTTCGTCTTTCAGAAAAAACAGAGGTATGCTCTAATTGATACATTTGATTCATTTTTGCTACTTTGTCTCATTTTGTTTGCCCCATGGAAGAGGAATGCTGATTTCTTCATATCATGATCTAACCATATCCTCTCAGCATTTTCCTCTTTTTTTTTGTAATTTCTTTATACTGATTTTAATCTCATCCTATCAGTGCTTATAGAGTTCCCCCTCCCCTCCCCCATTTCAGCCAATTGACCAACATGATCTCGCAATAGAATTTGCTGAGTGTATGAGAGCAGCCAGATTCAAGTTGGAGATTAGCGGCACACGAGAAGATATAAGGTGGTTATCTTAAATCTCTGTTACTTAGTTAGCTTCAGTTCATGTACAGTGCACACACATGTTCAAACATGATTAGGGATGGTTTGATTTGCTAGGTGTGGTGTCGAGAATTTTATTGTTTTAGAAAAGATAAGATAAAAAAAACTAAAAGCTTTAATGCTTCTCGTATTACTTTAGGCAAACTACACATTACCCATATGTCCTTGTTCTTTTGGTTAGAGATAAGGGGCTTCTTTAAATTGCATTTTTTCTAAGGCAAACTACACATCACCCGTATGTCCTTGTCCTTTTGGTAAAACATAAGGGAATTCTATAAATTGCATTTTTTTCTTGCACATGATGGGGCTGTGCAGTTCTTTTTATTCACAATAATTATAAGAGGGGCATGTGTTCGATCCAAAGCATGAAACATGCACTCCCATATTTAATTCATGATCATTTGAAATGTAGAGATGAATAGGTTAGTGGGCTTTTAGAGATGAGGATCAAAGTTGGAAGTTACAAAGCCTAAGGCAACAACCTTTCAATGCATGTATAAAGGCTTAGAGAGTGAAGATGTGATAAGAAATTGTTCTGACTAGCAGGGCATGAGAGGGGAAGGTGAGGGACGTATAGTTATTAAGGCATCGCTTAGGCGCTAAAGGTATGTTTAGAAATTTAACTTCCACTTGTTTGTTTGGTTGGAAGGAAATGGAGTGGAATTCAACTTCCCTCCCATTTCACTCCAAAAGTAGGAGGAATGTTTTTAAAACTCAATTTCAATTTCCCCTTCAATTCCTTTCCATTTCCTTTCATATCTCCCTTCAACCAAACAATGAAAGTTTTTTGATTTCCTTCCCACTTTTCTCCCTTCTCCTTACTTCCCTTTAACCAAACATACCATAAGAGATGGTCGCCTTGAATGACGCCTTGCCTGGAAACACCTAAGGCGATGAAAAGCTTTTTTTATTCGTGTTTTCTATATTGATATGCATATATATATATATATATATATATATATATATATATATATATTCTTTTTTGTAGTAATTTTTAAGCTAAAAAGTAGCTAGCTAGGACAACACCAAACATAAAGATACAACAGTCAACAACAAGATTAAGCTAACATATTAAGGCCAAGTTCCATCACCTCTAGGTGATCTCATGTCCTCTTTCTTAAGTTTCTCCAATACCAAGCTTGCATTGTCTTGTTTACCTCAATGATAGTTCTATTGATACCAAACTCTTTATCCTAATGAATGGATACTTTATATTTCTTCTAAATAGCCCAAATAATCCAACCTGGTATGTATATATGATTCAGCTTTTCAGGTTTCTCTCATTGGCAGTAGCTCACCATTCAATTAAATGTTCCTTTAGTATATCAGACCTTTAGCATGTCAAACAGCATAGCAAAGTGTCTTCATACTCTTGAGGCTTGAGGACAGTTTAAGAGGCTGTGTTATGTTGTTTCAATAGAGGATCTGCGGTTAAGACACATTGAAGTTAGATTAAAGCCTAACCTCGTAAGATTTTCATGGGAAGGTAGGCATCTACTTAGAGTCTTCCAAGTGTGGAGCTGAACTTTAGGGACTTGAATTTTCTGCCAGTCTAAGTGTATAAGTGAGAGTAGTGGGGTGGTCATGAGTAACAACCTTATAAGCTGATTTTTAAGAAAATTTTCCATCTTGCCACCTAGGTTGGCCATTTATATAGGTTATATTATCACTACCAATGGATTGAGCAATGAAAGGCAATGCTGATATCCAATGCATATTCTCTTCCAACCAGGAGAACCATAACTTTTAGCAATGAAGCTCTTCTATGTTCTTTAATGATACTTATATGACAATTAAGATGGCAGATGAGTGGAGGGAGAGTGCCATGATTTCGTTGTACAAAGGCAATGCTGATATCCAGAGCTGTGATATTTACAGAAGCATCAAACCTTTAGTCACACTATAAAGGTAGGCTAAGGAACATGTCCTAGTTGGTAGATTTAGGAAAGAGTCTAGCACTTTTGAGAATCAGTCTGATATCATGTGTGGCCATTGAGGAGATTGACAGAGAAGTGTGTAAGGAATATCAGAGGCGATCAAGGGGAAGCGAACAAACACACACACACAAATAGCAGAAAATAAGAATATGAGATTTAACGTGGTTCGGTCAGGTAACCTACTCCACGGGCTGCAACCATAGTCACATAAATCGCGGTACGTTTTGGTACGGGTACACGGTTCGGGTACAAAATTCTCTAGAGGTGACAAATTCGGTACGAAGGGGGATAGGTTCATTTCGGTACGAAGCGAAAGTTTAGTAGGAAAAATATGGCAAAAAAGAATTTAGAAGCAAGTTGAGCCCAATACGAATTTGAGCCCAAAAGAGAAAATAGAAGCTATTGTGCTTTTTATTAAAAGCAGTAGCATGCGTAAAAAAACCAGTAGCGAAGAAGTAGACAGTTGCTTCCATGGAACAACAACAACAACCCAGTTAAATCCCACAAAAGTAGGGTCTGGGGAGGGTGTTTGTACGCAAACCTTGCCCCTACTCAAAAGTAGAGAGGCTGTTTCCAAAGAGACCCCCGCAGATCCATTGGAGATGCTTCCATGGAAATCTGCGCTATTTCAGAAATCGTTTCTGTTGATCGCTCTCCCAGCCACAGATCCGGACGATCTCTATTCCCGATATCTCTTGCAATGTGAATCGCAAATAAGCGATAGTAGGAGTAAATCGGTAACCCTAGTTCAATCCGGATCGCGATTTTGGTACGTCGTACCGCCGACGTTCGGATCGCAACCGAATTGTGATTGGGTACACCGCGTACCAATACGGAAGGCACGACTGTAGCAGTGAATTTTGTGACTATGGTTGCAACTAGATTTTATCTTTTATTAGGTGCTCACAGAATTACAAGTATAGAGATTGCTATTTATGAAGACTAAACTAAGGTTAAAAGCTTAATCCCCAAGTTAGGCCCAAGCCCACATAGAGATTTAGGGCCGGCTTAAAACCTAATTTACTGCCACATGGGTCGAACCAAGACTAGGGCCGGCTGCCCTTCTTGGTCGAGCCTCTACACTCAATTCGCCCAACAAAGTGTAGGGTCAACATGGACCTACACATGGTATTTATTGACTTTGATAAACCGCACTATAGTGTTCTAAGGGAGACTTTGTTGAGACACCTTGAGTCTAGAGGGATTCTAGTTGCATGCATTCATGGGGTGAAAGACACGTATGTTGGGGTGAGGAACGGGATGAAGGCTCTTGGGGGGGGGACTCTGACGGTTTCTTGGTGTAGATAGGGGTCTCCTCTTAGCCCTTTCATGTTTGCACCAGTGATGGATGTTTTCACATAGCATAACGAGAGGAGGTACCTTGGTGCATGTCACTTACACATGACATTGTGTTGATCGATGACACATGAGCGACTCAATGATAAGCTGGAAATGTGGCGTCATTGGGTGGAATCAGATAGAGGACTAAGACTGAGTGAGTATGTTGCTTCAATCCGGATGGGGGGGGCAAGTCATTGTGGAAATAGAGATTGATTCACCTCCTCACCCAATGCCTTAGGGCCTGTTTGGTTGTAGGGGGGAGGGGGGGACTCACGCATCCTTCTGATTCGGCTCTTTTAGCAAAGGACTGGCACTGGAATTTTGCTGGATTGTGATCTGAAGAACGGAACTATGGTAAGGGTTTTGTTGATTGGGATTAGGAGGTTGAATCTAAGACTGGGATTCTTGGCGGTAGAGGTACGATGGGGGAGGAAGATGTGTGTTGATGTTGGGAGGGAAGCAAGAATCTTGAGCGTATGTGAACCAGAGAGCGAGGCCTAAATGCCTAATCCTTCTGATTTGGGGGGAATGAAAAGAGGGGGAGGGGAAGGAATGAGACCCTAAAAAATGGGTTCCCTACCCCTTTAAAAGAAAACTGTGGGGAGGGAACCATTATTCCTCCCACCCCTCCAACCACACAAGCCCCTCAAGGGACAGGTTTTGGTACTTCGGTTCGGGGATTGGGGCAGATGTTGGCGGGGATGCCACTCGCCGTGTTGGAGCTACTTGGGCAAAGTGGTGGTTAGCTTCATGTGCCCATTCTAAATAAAATTTCTGGTCCCTTTTAATGGGACTAAGAGTGTAAATTCTACTATCTAAGTAAAATCTGTCAGTACTAATCACGAAACTAGTTTCACTTTTTCATAAATGAAAGAATAGATTGACATTTATTTGTGAAATATAGCTTAATTATAGAATTTTAGAAGTCACAAAATCTAACATGTAAAATATTGCAAGTATGTTCACTGTCCACTTTTATTTGGAATTTTGCCTTTGTTCTGTATGAAAAGTTCAGTTTATGCTTCGACAATTGAAGTTTTTTTACTCATTCACATCGTTATTGTCTCCTTTGTGGTTGATAGGTTTTTGATCGAACAACCGAAGAAGCCAGGTAATTTATTGGCATCCGCACCCCACTCTTATAAGATTTCTTCCTATTGCCTTCATTAACCCGTGAGATACATATTTGTGAGTAAATGACGATTAAGGTTTCTTTGATTTGGCTAGAAGAAGTCAACCTGGAGAAATACGTACACCAGGACGAAGGTAGGATTATGAAATTGAGTAGCGAAAACAAGCTAACAAAATGAATAAAGTTTAAATGTATAGATTTTGCATGTGAACGATATTTTCGAACGGAGAATATTATTTAATATTTTTTTAAAAAAATACTTGCATTAGTTGCATATGGAAAGGTTGAACATTAGGCCGCTACCGTAATGAGAAAGCTAAGTCAATTGACCATTAATAAATATAATTGTATAAAAATGAATGTTGTGAAATTTTTATAAATCAAAACTATATCTAAAATAAAGTCATTTATATTAAATTACGTTATAACTCACTTAACTTTTTTCATAAGGTGTAGTTAGATTATGTAAAAAGTTGACCAAAAAGTCAAAACATAAAAAGTTTTTTTTGTTGTATTTAATTTGAGACGTAAAGATATTTGTTAATTTTGATTAAAACCAACCAAATAATGGGACTCTAACACTATGTTTGGTTCAAAGAATTTGGATGGAAAAGAAAAGAAAATACTTTTATCTCATTTTTCTTCAGAAAGAATTTTGTTTTCTCTCATTCTTTTACATTTTACATTCTCATTTTCTTTTTTTCTCTTTAACCAAACTAGAAATATTCTTTTCCATATCATTTTTTTTCCTTTCAAAACCTTTGAACCAAACATAGTACGAGTAGAAAAGTTTTTCATTAAATAGTACGTATTGAGTACAAAACTTTAACTTGATTGGACAAAAAGTAGAATGACTTTATTATATAATTTTTTTTAAAAATTAATGTCATACAAAATGGAAAATAATGAACAATTCAACAAATGGGGAAAAAAGAGCATCCACGTGTTTGGCCGCAAGCAACTAAGGCATAAAATGACTGTAACTGTCACAGACACATAATACAATTGCATGTCAGAATATTTCTTGTCCAAATTAAACATCCAACACTAGCTAACAGTCTTCAAATCTTAGGTTTTCATAACAAACAACCACTTACTAAACATGGATTCTGATATTTTCAAACAACCAATTCATTAATAGACTGATAGAGTGGAACCAACTACCAAACATAAAAAAACTACTCCATATACATGGTCAACTAGGATGGATGAGCTAACAAAAAAAAGTCAGAGATGCTGCTCCAGAAACATTCGCATCTTGTCATGTTTTCTCCTTCAACAGCTTCTCCTTCTTGGGTGTAAAAACCTCTGGAACAACACCACATGCAACAAAGAAATAAGACAACAACATAATTATTAATTTGTACTTGGCAAAAAAGGGAAAAAGAAAGATACACAGTGCATGTGGAATGTATATTAGGGAGTACACACTTACCCTCTCTTATTTAGTCAAGTGTTCTCTTGCGGAAAAGTTCTCCGTTAGCATCTTCACCCAATATTTCGGAGAGGAGAGAGGGGATGCATTCCGTTTCAGAATCATTGAAGTCCGACGACGAGGAGGAGCCTTGATTTGAGCTGGCAACATCGAAAGCGGACAAAAAATCGGCTAGTCAGTTCCACTCGCGCCGAGCATAGAGGATAATGACAAATCTCTTGTCAAGCTCTATGTCGGCAATGACGTTACGGGCCTTTTGAAGGAGCCCGTTAACCAACAAAACCGTGGGCGTATCTCCCTTCAAGAATTCCCCAGAAACAAGCTTCCTAATCATGTGTAAGTTGTCGTTCAAAAGAAGTAGCCCCTTCTTGCACTCGTAGGAGTCTTCAAAGTCACGGAGCATCTACCTACTAGTCTCTAGAGCCTTTAACATTGCAAAGACTTCCGCTCCTTCGGCCGTGGACACATCATCAGGTAAAGCTTGATGAATTAGATCATCGAGAAGCTTCCCTCCGAGTGTCCGGAATGACACTCTGTTTGCTCGGCTAGCCAACGAAGCGTCACAGTTGGTAGTGAGCATTCCGAGGGAAGCCACCCAATAACAAAGTTCGGGGACGCGAGGTAGCATGGGAGCCCAGTCGGGAGATATGACGATGCGTTCCAGATGGAGTAGTTTGGAAATTTTATTCTCCCAACCGTGGTAGCGCCAAATGAGCAAGTATGCGTCTCCAAGATTTAGGGACAACTGGGGAGAATGGAGTGTAGAGTTGTGTCAGCGTACCCAATGGTGGTAATCACTGTCGAACCTATGAAGGACTTGCATAGGTTCGACAGTGATTCCCACCATTCGGTACACCGGCACAATTTTACACTCCATTCTCCCTAGTTGTCCCTAAATCTTGGACACACATACTTGCTTATTTGGCACTACCACGGTTCGGAGAATAAAATTTCTAAACTACTCCATCTTGAATGCATCGTCATATTTCTCGACTGGCCTCCCATCCTACCTCGCGTCCCTGAACTTTGTTATTGGGTGGCTCCCCCTGGAATGCAAACCACCAACTGTGACGCTTCGTTGGCTAGCCGAGCCATTAGGGTGTCATTCCGGACGCTCGGAGGGAAGCTTCTCGACGATCTAATTCATCAAGCTTTACCCGATGATGTGTCCACGGCCGAAGGAGCGGAGGTCTTTGCAATGTTAAAGGCTTTAGAGGCTAGTAGGTAGATGCTCCGTGACTTTGAAGACTCCTACGAGTGCAAGAAGGGGCTGCTTCTTTTGAACGACAACTTACACATGATTAGGAAGCTTGTTTCTAGGGAATTCTTGAAGGGAGATACGCCCACGGTTTTGTTTGTTAACGGGCTCCTTCAAAAGGCCCGTAACGTCATTGCCGACATAGAGCGTGACAAGAGAGTTGTTATTATCCTCTATGTTTGGCGGGAGTGGAACTGACTAGCCAACTTTTTGTCCGCTTTCGATGTTGCCAGCTCAGATCAAGGCTTATCGTCGTCGCACTCCGATGATTCTGAAACGGAATGCATCCCCTCTCTCCTCTCCGAAATATTAGGTGAAGTTGCTAACGGAGAACTTTTCCGCAAGAGAACACTTGACCAAATAAGAGAAGGTAAGTGTGTACTCCCAAATATACACTCCACATGCATTGTGTATCTTTCTTCTTCCCTTTTTTCGCCAAGTAGAAATTAATAATTATGTTGTTGTCTTATTTCTTTGTAGCATGTGGTGTTGTTCCGGAGGTTTTTACACCCAAAAAGGAGAAGGTGTTGAAGGAGAAAACATGACAAGGTGCGAATGTTTCTGGAGCAGCATCTCTAACTTTTTTTTGTTAGCTCATCCATCCTAGTTGACCATGTATATGGAGTAGTTTTTTTATGTTTGGTAGTTGGTTCCACTCTATCAGTCTATTAATGAATTGGTTGTTTGAAAATATCAGAATCCATGTTTAGTAAGTGTTGTTTGTCATGAAAACCCAAGATTTGAAAACTGCTAGTTAGTGTTGGTTATTTAATTTGGACAAGAAATATTCTGACATGCAATTGTATTATGTGTTTGTAACAGTTGCTCATACAGTCATTTTATGCTTTAGTTGCATGCGGCCAAACACGTGGATGCTCTTTTTCCCCCATTTGTTGAATTTTCCATTTTGTCTGACATTAATTTTAAAAAAAAATTATACAATAAAGTCATTCTACTTTTTGTCCAATCAAGTTAAAGTTTTGTACTCAATACGTACAATTTCATGGAAAACTTTTCTACTCGCAATATGTTTGGTTCAAAGGTTTTGAAAGGAAAAAGAAAAGAAAATGATATGGAAAAGAATATTTCTAGTTTGGTTAGAGAGGAAAAAAAGATTGAGAATGTAAAAAAAATAAAATTCTTTCTGAGGAAAATGAGAGAAAAGTATTTTCTTTTCCATCCAAATTCTTTGAACCAAACATAGTGTTAGAGTCCCGTTATTTGGTTGGTTTTAATCAAAATTAACAAATATCTTTACGTCCTAAATGAAATACAAAAAAAATTATGTTTTGACTTTTTGGTCAACTTTTTACATAATCTGACTACACCTTATGAAAAAAGTTAAGCCAGTTATTGCGTAATTTAAACTTTATTCATTTTGTTAGCTTGTTTTCGCTACTCAATTTCATAATCCTACCTTCGTCCTAGTGTACGTATTTCTCAAGGTTGACTTCTTCTACCTTTCTTTTCTACCCCCACTGTTTATCATAAAGAGAGCTGTCGTGGAGTTTCCCTAAAGACCCAAACTCAATCTCGCTGAGCAAACTCGGAATGCCATTTTCAACAACAGAAGAATTTCCATTGTGATGGCGATAAAGGTATCGGTTGGAATGCTGTGAGCTTCTCATAATTCTCACGAGCTGTTCGGGAGAGTAAAGAAAAATCTTACTTGAAATCACCGTTTCCCCAACAGTTTGCCAATTTCAACACAGGTATCCATCCGTTGCTACTTGTCCCTTTTTGGAACTGGATTTTATCTCCCCCCATCACTTTGCTAGAGCGACCCTGCAACACTGTCCGATTATTGTTGAATATTGAAGGTTGTCTTGAATTTGAGACTAACTAAACAGGGGATCGGGCAATAATGATGTTATTGATGCAAACCCGTGGCAACACTGTCCATACACCAAACTCCTGATATGGCTGTCATAATCCCCTGTGACTCCAGCTCAAGGATTCAAGACCTCCAAACCATCCCCAGCGATGCTCGCCAAGTCCCTTTCTCAAAAATCAAGGGGAAAACTTTTTAAAATGCTGCTGGCCTTTGGGGTCGAGATTGCTGAATCACGAGAATAGATGCTCTCACAGTAATCTGTCACTGAAGGCCGAACACTGAGCCCAAAATTATTATTTTCTTTCACAACAACACCATGATCTATATATATATATATATATATATATCCCCTTATATTATAAGGGCCTAGAGAGTTGCCGTCAATTTTTTTGGCTCATTTTCCGTCTTCCTTCTGTTTATTCACTGTAGCGAGTCCACCCACTTCATTTTCTTTTCCTCTTATCCCTCTTACAATCTTACCCTCTCTCTTTCACTTTCGCCATTTAATTCTTCAGCGCTGCCCACCTAACCCACGCCGCCAACGACAACCTCCTCCTTTACGCTACTTGATAAAATTCGCTCGATCTTATTGTGCCGATCTTCAAGCTCGTGCTCAGATCTAGCTGCTTAGTTGGTTGGTATGTCCCTGTATCTAAATTCCTCTCTGAATTGTAATTTCCTAAATTCTAATTGTATATCTAACTTTGCCTACATCATGATTGAAGGGTTAGAATATCGTCCAAAGGTGTTTTGTGCTAGACCTTCGATCACCAATTTATGGTGAACTTCCTATTTTTCTTTGCTTCCTTATTTCAATTTCATTCCAACAATTCCCTTCTTTCCTCTGTTTCCCTTCATGTTTTCAAAGAGAATTGCTAAAAAATTTATTGATTTGCTTATTCATTTGAAATTAATTTAAATTTTGTTATTTCAAATATTAAAAAGAACTTGCCTCCTACAAGACCACATGCTAACCTGACCACTAACATTAAGAGGGTGAGGTTTTGTTAGAGCTAGACAATCCAACTACTACGTGTACGGAAAGAGAAAACTGTCAGATGAATTGGGTATAATTGGAATAGCGTAGACCTATTTAGAACCATTTCCAATGTTTTAAACATATGGCATCAATTAGGGAATTGAGCACGCCAGCCTCTCTCTGTGTTAGTCTTTTATTAGAGCATCTACAAACTCTTAGGCTTTGGAAATTATCAACTTCCAATAGAGTAAGAGTAGTCTCCCTATTTTGAGTGTATCATGTGTGAAAAATTTATATTGTAAGTTTGGAGTAACCATTTGTTGTTTTTAGAAACAAAGCACTTTGTTACATCTCACTGACGAATTTTACTCCATATTAGAAATAAGAAATTCTTTTTATCTGTCAATCTCACTCCTCTTCCTATTGATAAAAAACACAACTCCGTTACACAAAACATTCCCCTATACTTGTACGAACATAGGTACATCTAACATTTACTTTTGATTGTTGATTTTCTACTTTTGAATTAGTTTCAACAGTTTTTCCCTCTTTCCTTCAAGAATTAGTGAATGAACACGCACTTGCAAAGTCTTATTTACTTATGAGTTGAACAACGAAACTTAGGTGTTAATTAATGTGTTATCATTTGGTTTTTGGAGTTCAACATCGTTAAGAACGTAGTTTAAAATAGCTCGTGTTTGGAAGCTTGCATTTTATTTTGAGTTACATGTTTTATTTTTAAAAAAAGAAATAAGTTTAATTTTATCGCCATTTGATTTTTGTCTATTCTTTGGTGTTGCCCTTAAGCCGGAGTAATTTGTTGCTAGAATTTCTGTTTTTTAATTTAATTTCGATAGTTACAAACATCAATTCTTATTTGCATGTTAATTTGAACATGCAATGATGCAAATAACAAATGATGTTTCAATCTAACATCAATAATTGGCCTGTGGATATCATCTCAATATAAGAGTTCAAACGAATGTGTTTCAATTCGTTCTATGCTTAGATGCAGTTTGGGCTAGATTCAAGTTTCCATTCTTAGTTGCGTGTCCTTTCAATTTCCTTACTTAACTTCAAATTCTATAGGGTCTTAAGTTTTTTATTTGCTCTCAGTGTAATCAATCAGTAACATATTTTTTGGATTTTTAAATTAGGTACCTCGGATTCAAAATGATGCCACCTAATTACCAAGCCATTGATGATAAAACGTGCTCACTCCTAGCTATGCCTTTGGCTGTTACCTACTCTTACAAAAACACCCACTTCAATAAAAACACCAGCAGGCCCTGTGTCTACCACTTCAAAAACAAATATTGCATTTGAATTCAAGGTCCCGAATGACAAAAAGGAAGAAACTATACTGCTACATATACCTTCTTCTTACTATTTTGAACAAAATCTAGCTTAGATGTTTAAGATTTAAATGTGAATCACCATGTAAACAACTCTTTTTGTGCTCTTTGAATGTACAAAACTAATGTAAATCATTGTGGGCACCTTGTGTGTGTGTGTGTGTGTATGTATGTATGTATGTATGTATGTATGTATGTATGTATGTATGTATGTATGTATGTATGTATATGTATAGGACCAATGCTTCCAATGCATAAGTAGAATTAAGACCATGATGAGCACCAATAATATACTGCACTTGAATAGATGATTCTTTCCAACAAGACGATCCATCAGTATTTGATTGTAAAAACAAAAGAATCAGCAAGTTTTTTTTTTTATTATAAAAGTAATTGCCAGAAGTAGTAGCCCATGAATCAAACAATTTTTTCAAGTGCGCCATTAAAGGGAAAAATATGGCATGAGAAAAGAAGTGCAATATGTTCCCTGTATTTAAAAGGATCGAGAAGATAAAAATTGAAAACATTTTTTGGTGTGAGTACAAACATGATGTAAATCAGCAATAAATACACATGACAATTTAAAAAACTTCAAAAAATAATTTCTTCACAACTAATGCCCTAACAGCTAGCCCAAGTGCTCTGTTTTCATTCATACTACTAATCACATACTATATTGAAGGCATAAAAAGTTTGTACATACACCCTAGTAATTAAGGGAAAGAGAGGGGGGACCTTTATGTTTTACCTGCTCCAAGAAGCAAAGTGTTTCCTCCTAACTAACTGATTAAGGACCCCAGATGTAGTCACACTATGCTTTTAGTGTTTCTAAATCCTGCAAGATTCTATGACCAAAAAATGGGGGAAAAACACCTGGTCAGCTTTCTTCTAAAACTTTTTTTTTACTCAAATTGCGTTTAAGGTTATTAACCACCTCAACCCACGGCACACACCCTGCCCGGACCCTGATTTTGTGGGATTCAACTTGGATGTTGTTGTTATCAAGTACAGAAAACATGTCATGCCTGACTTCTAGCATCCAATCAAACCTAAAATCATATGCAGTACTCCATATCACCTAGCAAGAGTTGGATCATAAAATCTTTCATTTTCCAAATAAAAAAATTGATACCCCATAGGACTAGGGTTTGTTTGACCCCCTCCTCTCATTTGGTTAAAAACATTTTGTTAAAATCTGGGATGGCTAAATTTTCCATTCCCGTTACAAAAAAAGAACAATTGTGTCCCAAATTTACAAAAAAAATGTTTGAGCCAAAAGATATGAACCATTTTTTGTCCCCTATCCAATTTCTTAAATAAGAAATTAATTTTACAATTTTAGATAGAGCTGTCTAATTTAGAGGATAGAAAAACAAGTCACATTAGAAAATATTTGAAGCAAAGAACCAAAAATAAGGGTAATAGGAACATCAATCTTGAAAACCCTTTTAGAAAAAATCATTTGGCACCAAATAGGGAAATCGTGAAGCACTCAAATAATAAAGCCTCTAAAAATGAGAAATGAATTATATAGAAAAAAAATCAATTCCAAAGACAGAATAATGTATATCGTTGGTGTAATATAAATTCTAAAAAAATTATTTATTTACAACATTCCAAGTGTGATTGGGAGGGTTGTTCTCATCAACGTAAGTCAAGATCTTCAATCCTTGTTGATTTTTCAACGCATGAAATAGCAACGTAAAGTTGACCATGACTGCAAATTGGCTAAATTCCATTCAATACGTCAATGCTGAGTTCATGAATCATGACACTTGAGAACATTTGGGACGAACAGCTTGTTAACTGCTCCACATATCTCGTATTATTAATGTTAGAAAAGATGTTAATAGATTTGGAGTAAAAATTCAATCATTATGTATAGTGACGAAACAAGAAATTTAAGTGCCTCCAATTTATGTTCCTAAAGCAGCATTGGAATTCATGCTCCTACTTTTGAAGCATATAACTTGGTACATTTGGACTTTAGTGAATACTCCTTTGGACAAAATATTATAGACATCTACCACAAATCAAGCATCATTAATTAATAGAAATATATGATTGGACCCAACGAATGGTACCTCACTGCAATAGTAATATTGTGGAAAATTCTTATTGTAAATTTATTAATAGGGAGCCAACCTAAATAGCTTTGCTCCTATAAAAAGAAAAAAATGATGTAATTCAGGCATACACTTTGGTTTGGGTCCAATCATATATTTCTATTAAATAATGATGCTTGAACAGCTTAAAACAGAAACATTTCAGAAAAGAAGCATCTGATTGTACATCATCAACCACTAGAGTTCTGTAACACAACAAAAACATTAACCACTGGTTTTGTTGAGATGGCATCTCAAAAACACCATCATAAGAGTGAGACAGATCGATGCAAGGGTTCGTTCATGTTCCTTTTTTCTTTCTTCTACGTATACAGTCATCAAGACTTATGAGGTCATATAATCTCCACCACTACATGTTCTTTAGCTTCAGACAAGTTCTCGTTTAACAATTTCGGGGCAAAAAGGGCTATCAATAACGGGTTTCTTCTTAAGCTACGAATGAAATCATCGTGGCTGATCCTCCCATCATTATCCGTATCGAGTAATTTGAAGAGGTCATGGACCTGTTGAACATGTTTTTAAGGGCAGTTAAGAAAATGATGCACTAAAGTGACAGTTCATCAGAGAAATTCTTGGATTTGGATGAGGTGGGGCCCCAAATCATCCTCCTGATTAACAGCATTATTCCATTTGGACAATTGGGGGAGTAACGCCAATGCTTTATTACGTATATATATATATATATATATATATATATATATATATATATATTAACTCTCACCTCATCCTTGCTCAAGCACACAGCTGATAGCAGAAGAGTTTCTTCCAGCTGCCACACACAAAGTAAATGTCGGATTCAGAGGTTTTTACTAAAGAGAGGGTCCCCATAGGCTATCTATCACATACTCCCTCCGTTCATAAATATCTGTCTGTTCTAACTTTCTACATACATTTAGAATCAAATGAATGTCGACACAATGCATGTCCATATTCATTCATATTTTTATGTATGAAATAAGTTATTCATGAATAGAGGGAGTATATGTTAAACACGTGATTAAACAATCAGATTACCCTGCACATTAGTGAGTAGGCCAGTTTATTTCTAGAAATAATATGACCTTTCTCTTTAAAAAAATCACTTCGTTATGTTTTATCTACTCTTATTGACCAGTATAAGGCCTTTTCATTAGTAAGACAAGTAATTACGGAGTTTTTTCTTGAGGGAATGTAGAACTTAGGATGGTTTAGCCATTTAGATAATAATAGTGTCTTTTTGGATGAAACCATGTGGTTCCCTTTCGAATACAAATTGAATGAAATCATGGGCATTGATTGATGCAAACCTCTCGTTCCAAAATGAAGCTCTTCCCATTACAATCACATTTTTCAAATGCCAATTCACATGCCCGGGAAAATGAGGGCTGCTTCAGTATGTAAGCTGATGCTACCAAGAACTGAAAAGGAAAAAGAGAGTTTCAAATCATGAAAGGTTGGGATGAGGCTGACAATATATACGACTGATGATGGTAAACTGAGAAGAGTTGGGATGCTACCTGTCTGAATGTAATCCGTCCTTTCTTTTTTACATCAACAAAACGGAATATCTGCAAATATCCAATACCCAAAATACCAGAGCATAAAAACACAAGGAATTATGTTCCTCCGACCAAACAGGTTTTATGATATTGTTATAGAGACATCTACTAGTAGAAAAATTTAAAATTAATGTAGATGTAGGCGTATAGCAAATGAGGAAAAACATAACGATACACTCCCTCCGTCCCTAAAAGATCTTCGCTTTATGCAAAATGATGTAAAATCCTAAGTTTTCAATTCATTTTATTTAAAGATTGGTATATAAATAAAAAAAATAAAACTTACATATTTAAAAACTAAACCAAAAGTTCTACAAAATAAGTGATGACAAGAATGTTTTCTTAAATCAATTATCAAATAATCAATTAAGACGTTCATATAAACAAAAGTTCACGTGAGAAAAGTAAAGATCTTTTTTAGGGATGGAGGGAGTAGTATATTTATTTTGAAAAGACTGAGAATTTATACAGATTTTACATACGAGTATGTTTTATTTACATCCATTATAAGACCAACTAAATCTGCATGATTGCACACATGGGTTTTATGAAAAAGAAATGGCAAGTGGTTCAATCACCAAACAAAACATGCACTGTGAACTATGGCATAACCCATGTAACAACTACATTTAATCTTAAGTGCATAATTCAAATTATCTAGGAGTAAGAATCCATATATCAGAACAGTCAATGCAAACTATTAATAACAGATAGAAAAGAATATTATAGTTTCACAACATAGAAAAAGAAATAGTAGACATCCTGTTCAACTAACCTTTTTGGAAAGATCACAAGGCTTGAGCCTTAAAAACCTGAGGAAGTCATGCATTTTAACCTGTCCCCTGGAAATGGAGAGAAGATCATTAAGGGCAGAAACCTATGAACCTACGCATTGAATTTTCCAGTTTCCAAAATCCTCCGTACAAAAGGGTAAAAGTGAGAATTATTCCTTAATACATGTATAAGTACATTCAATCCTAAATTGGGGAGGGGGGATAATATTTAAATCCAAAAAAGTCTGCACCATTGAAAGAGAAAACACGTACCAAAAAGGTGAACTAATCAAGCAAGGGTTAGGAAGAACGGGATACTAGTATACCTAATAGACTAATAATATAGCACTAAAAGCAAAATCATATGTCAGCTAACACATGTGTTTGCGAGAATGCCTCCTTGGTTTGGGACAAAAAGGCACAAAGTTGCTAGTGTAACAATTCATTTCAGTGTGAAACTGAACACAGTGAAACTCATTTGTTTCAAATGAGAGTAACAAAAAAAGAATTTGTTTTTGGTCGAATGAGTTGAACTATGTTCAATGAATAGTGAAACTTATCCCTCGCCAAGCCAATACAAACTATAGGCAAAGGAAAGAGCCCCATTTCATAGCACCTTGGGAGCGCAAGTTGAATTGCGGTACGTAGTCTCTGAATGAATTGAATGTTCAACGAATCTCTAGCTTGAACAGAGGAACGAAGTTC